GGGGGGGAAGAAGCAAAAAAGACATTACAGAATAACAGTTCTGCGCTTTCGGGGCTTACGAGGCAAATGCTATTATTTCCACCAAAACAAAGTCTAGAAACGGCGTACGCAGTGTCACGGGCGTCAGTGCCTCAAGGCAAGACATGACTCCAGTAACACAACTTTTCCCCCAAGGGTCAGAAGCGTGTCGCCGATGGCGACAAAGATGGCAACGCTGTAAGTTTCTTTATTGTTTTACCATCTTACAGTTTACTAATTTATATCATAGCCTCCAAAAAAAAAGCCCATAACTTGTCGTTATTGTACCAAGAAGGGGCACCACTTCGACAAGTGCCCGGAGCGCCTCGAGCGCGAGCAGGCTATTCACCTGGAGGCGACGGACTTTGTCCGTAAGTTAGACACTCGTTTCTTCTCTCCAGAAGAACCTCGGTGCCGCTGCGTCCGCCGCCGCCGCCGCCAGGAAGGAGGCCAAGGAGGCCAAGAAGAAGGAGAAGGAGAAGAAGAAGGATGAGAAGATTGCGGCCCTCGAGGCCAAAGTTGAACAGTTGTACGAGTTTTTGCTCTCTCCGGGTGGAGAGGACGAGGAGAAGGAAGAGGGGAAGGAGGCCGAGAAGCAGGTTGATGATGCTCCCATGCAGGAGTGATTTTCTTTTTTCTCCTTTACAATGAATGAATGAATGAATGAATGATTCACTGGTCAATACTGCTCTTCCAAACCCGAAAAACGCTTCCCTTATCACTGATGTATTGAGAAAGCAATTGATGCTTCACGGTATCATTATCCATGAATTTAATGAATCGAAATCCCACAAATGGCAACAGTCAGCTTAAGTCAACAGAGGCTGTCATCTTTTCAAACTTGAATAGTAATGACAAATTACCTCATACATCTAACTATAGTCATTCTAATTCAAGCATTGTTATTTCCCTGCTAGAGCAGGTATAATGCGTCCTTGGGAGCCCAGTTGGCATTGCGACTTAACTGCCGTACCTGCATTAAAGGCTTACTGGCCAATCGGTTCTTTGTGACTGAACCCCATAACAAAATACCTAGGGATAACCTAATTAGTCCTGACAGTGTATACATGGTAATTGCTTGAGCCTTAACATTTGTCTTAGCCAATACTTTTGCAGATTAACATATTCTTAGTTGCCGACTCAAGGCACGTTGACAGTGGCGTCATCCCATGAAAAGCTTAATAGTATAGTCTCGAAGAAGCACGTTAAACTTGAGGCCAGTCTTTGAACCAGGCCACCCTCGCCCAGATCGTGGCCGAGGTTCAAGCTACCAACACTCGCATGGCGCCGAAGGCGACCACGAGACGCTGCCACTATGTCCTGTTTCGCTGAGAAGATCGCCCAGGGCGTTAAGAAGGCCACTGTCGCTGCAGTTTCACTGTCCCGCCCCCCCAAGCGCTCGGCTCAAGGCGAGCTAGAGGGCGATGTCATGAAGAAGAAGCACAATGGCCCGTGGTGCGCTTGGTGCAGAAATAATGATCATTATTCATCCGCTTGCCAGGATAAGTTTGAGTATGAAAAGTCCCTCCACCTTCGTCGCTGCTGTTTCCGAGACAGTCACCGTCCCTTCCAAGTTGCAACAATACTACTTCCCCCGCTACCGCTACCGCTATGTCTTCCTTTGCGGAGAAAATTGCCCAGGGCATAAAAAAGGCAACCGATAAGGCTACGATTGCCGCTGCCGCCGCAGTCCCCCTTCCTTCCCCTCACAAGCACAAAGTCCAGGATGAGCTTGCTCTGAACACTGTTAAAGTTGACATTTGCATTGACTGGATCACCAAGGAGGAGGAAGACAGAACGAAGAAGAAGGAGAAGAGGGACAAGAAGAAGGGGCATAAGAGGGCACAGCCTGAAGAAGAGGCACAAGAGCAACAGCAACAGCAGGAGCAGGAGAAGGAAGTGAAGCAGATGGAAACAAATGAGTAGGTAGTCTTTTCCTTGAAGGGCCAGGAGATAGGTTATTAGAAATAAACTGAGCAAAAGATATCCTAAATTTAGTAAAGTTACCCTAAATTTATCCAAAGTCTTTTTATCATTCAGGATCAAGGTCCTGAGTAGGTATTCTTTCCTCCCCTAGCTTGATACCTTGAGACCCCCTGTCCTTCGTGTAAGTGGACTGTGCGAAACATCCTCCAGATAACACTGTCTTTATCTGATGTGGAACTAAACTTTTTTTCTTGATTGCTTCAATCTGGACCCAAACTCGAGCTGCTCACCAACCACATTGATCAATATGTCTCCCGTCGAAGAAATCGGAGACCTGTTCTCCGTCCTCCCAATAGAGATCCCTGCCACACCTTCATACCCAGAGACCGCCATTCACGAAGTTCGTATACGGAAAAATGCACCCAAGATACCTACCGCCAACGACTCACGAAGTCTATTCCTGAAAAACATTCCTGCAGACAGTACAGAGCCTCACTTTCGCGCTGTCTTTACACAACTTGTAGGCGCTGGGCGCTTTGAGAGTATTACCTTCGAAGACGAATCACGGACGCTACTGCCTATCGATCCTGCGCAAGCCACAAAGGTTGCAGGCTTCGCGAAAAAGAGAAAACGCGGCGACGTTGAGGCGGAAGAGCGGGAGCGAGAAGAGGAAGCTGCACAATTACCCCAGATCTGGTCGCGGCGCGTGCAACGCAGCAGCAGCACCGCAATTGTGCTCCTTGCAGACGAGAAGAGTGTGCAACTAGTCCTCAAGGCTATCGCAAAGCTACAAAAGAGTAAAAAGTATCCTACATGGGGTAGCGATCTCTCCGACGACGTGCCCTCGCTCGGCTCATCGTGGATCGCATCGCATCTGCAACTCTCGCGCGTCGACAAGCCAGCCACCCAAAAGGCGGTTCACGCCTTCTTCACTGCATTCAACCGCAAGGAGAAGGAAGCTGTTGAGCTAGCTAAGCGACTGCGCAATGAACCAGACGAGGATGGTTTCGTTACAGTAACTCGCGGTGGACGGGCCGCTCCCGCCAGCCGAAACGAGGCCGAGGAAGCCAAGCGCAGAATGATCGAGAGGGATACCAAGAAGAAGTCTGAAACCAAGGACTTCTACCGCTTCCAGATGAGAGAGCGACGCAAGGCGGAGCAAATGGCCCTGATGAAGAGATTCCAGGAGGATAAGAGAAAGGTGCAAGCGATGCGGGAGAAGAGGGGAAAATTCCGACCAGAGACATGAGATGCTTGATAAAGCTACGGTTTATGTAAGTCATGATGGTATTTTTGTTTGTCTTTATGATGACGTCGCGGGGCCATCGAACATGATGGGGTAGCGAGGCCTTTGGTCTCCCATCTTGGGTGCCGAAAACAACCGCGTTACAATCTTCTCAAATCTGTCTGAGACAAAGACATTGTTCCATATTCTGTCAGAATCTATTCGTGAACCTCACTGACAAGCCTAGCTGTTTCTAGAGCATGTCAAGCTCGGTCTACACAAGGGTACCGTTTCAAAGATATCCATGTTGACGCGCAACTTATACCCGAGTCATTATGGCTTCTCGTATTCTGACCATTACGACTCAACATATCCTGTCATCGCCGCTCGGATCAAGACCCTTACGTCTAATAAGGGTCCAGGAGGAGATGTAAAATTTGCCACGATGCAACATTCGGGCCTTTGGTTTCTACCACGTTTTAACTGCCTCGCATCGGCCAAGGAGCTATCAAGGCGGGGAGGACCTTGTCAGAAGGAGGAGATAGAAAATAAATCAGTCGGCTTCAGAGCTTGAACCTGTTTCAGACTGAGACTTGGAGTTGACAGTGCATTTGCCAGCAGCTATGTTTGCTTCGACGTCAAGTTGTCCATGGAAACAATACACAACACCATTCATATGACAGTTGGCCATTTTCCGGCCACATCTTTCCCCTCATCCATACCTTGATTAGGCTGCATACTGTAAACATGCCCAATTTCGGCCCATCAGCATCCTCATCGAGGCTTTCTAGTTTAACAGGTGGGACTGTCGACCCAGACAACGACCGTCACCAGCAAATTCCAAAACCCTCACTTTTCACCCAAAACTTGATCATCTGCATTGCCACCTGTCGAGCGCTGTCTTGTCAAAAGGATGACCCTGGCTGGTCTCTCGTTCAGGCCCGCCTCACTTTTACAGGGATCTCATTGGCGGACGCATTGTTTACTTTGCTCCCCCACATAGCAACCAGCTCTCCCCACCAAAACAATTAAAGGGACCACAAGCTTGTACACTTATACAGGAGAGATAGTACTAGTACCTTTGCGTAGGAAATTGATGAGAAAAAGTCAATCTCTTCAAGATTCGAGGATATGTGTATCAACTTTGGACTCGCTCACCTATCACAATGATCGATACCGATAATCTTCGTACAGCATCGCTGTATATCAACAATCAGCTTCTATCTAGAGGTTTGCTTCGTGATGGGCAGAGTATTGATTTCGCCGGCGCGGCCTTCAATGGCGACGAAGCTGGAGCTACCATGGGACGGATCGTAAGCGTGCTGAACGATCTAATACTCCGACGAGATGTACGTTAGCTCTCCTGTGTCTTGATGCAACTAACAGTCACAGCGTGATGCAGAACATCGCGAATCCCTCTCAACCACCATGCGCACCCTACGCGCCGATAACCTTAAACATACCAACGACATCGCGCGACTCACAGAGAAACACACCGAGGCCAAGAGGAAGCTGGACATTGCAGAAGCTTCAGAGGCTGCTCTCAAAACACAAATGAAGTCGGCAGACGCCGCCATACGCGGTTTAAAGGAAGAAGTCGCCCGCACAAAAGGACTGGTCGCCCAGGCACGAGCTGCATGCGCAACAGACGTCCGCAGACGAGACCGCCAAATCGATACGTTGAAGAAACAGCTCGCCGAAGCTGGACGTGCGCGAGGATCCCGAGCAAACCCCGGCGTAACCTCAATCCACGTCATAGGTGATGTTGGCGAGGAAAAGTCGACAGGTAGCGGAGGTACCACGGCAGCAGATGATTATGATCTGCGCAACGAAACAAATGCATTCTTGGCCAACCTGGCTCAAAATCTGAGTGAAGAAAACGAAGCTATTCTTTCCATAATGCGCAAGACGATGCAGCAACTACGGGACATGAGTGGGTGGAACAACGAGAACCAGGATAACCTTGTTATTCAGCAGCAAGGGTGGCAGGATATGGCTTCGGAGCTGGACTCTGTGCTGGAACACATGCGAACTATCCTAACGAACCCCTCGTTTGTGCCGATCGAGGAGGTCATGGTTCGAGAAGAGGAAATCAGCCGTCTCAAGGATGGTTGGGTCAAGATGGAGAGTCGTTGGACTGAGGCAGTTCATCTGATCGATGGCTGGCGGAAGCGTATGGCTGCTAATGGACGGCCAATTTGCGATGAAGAGCTTCAGATGGGACTGCGTCTCAGTCCAGTAAGAGTACGAGATGTGGAGGAGACAAGGCACGCATCTGCTCTCAGACTCTCTGCTGTTGCTGAGGAGCCCGAGGATGAGATGGATGTTATTGACTCGCCATGTCCTTCGCGCTGTTCTCCTCGCGTACAGCTTGTCCCGGAGTCAGAGCCTGAGGATGAAGTTGACCGGGAAAGTGACATCGAATCCGATTACGACGAACACATACCAATCGACGACTATGACGTTGAGGAGCCTAATGTGCAGATCCTCCAACAATCCACAGCAGCTCCCCTCTACCACCCAGACCCAGACTCATCGCCACTACCAGAGCCTCCCCAGCTCAGCCCCTTGAAAGATTCTGCATCCGCTGGAAACCGAGGCTCTCAACCACGCAAACATGGCAAGGGAGACTTCACCACTATTGTGGAGGAAAACACATGGGACCTTGCTGCAGAAGGAGGCTCTATTCCTCTTAGATATGATCAAGAACCTCGCGACCGCGTGTCGTCTTCTTCTTCACTCGACGAAGTCCTCCTCGTCAAGTCACCGGAAACTGCTCCTCAGGTCAACGAAATGAAGATGTCTACTCCCCAGCACCAAAGCTCTCACCGCAGCAGCGACGACCAAAGCGAGACTCAAACATCACCCAACCGTTCGCCTCGTCGAACAGCATCACGTCTTCCCCTCCCACGAAACATCGATCCCGCTCCTCAGCAAAGCCCTCTCACTATGGCGACTATTGCCGCCAAATTGGCCGCTTCAGAGCGCGAGGCTGATGCTGCTCGTGTTCGAGCCAAGCTTCGAGCTGCCCGTGGAACTCGTGGGGTCAAGAAACCAACCATGAATTCATCTCAGCCTGACAAGGCAACCGAATCTACAATCGAAACCGAAAAGAGAAATGAGTTTGAGAATGTCGACCCTGTAAAGAGAGACCCAGTACCGGCTGATGACCAGCTGAAGCCTGAAAAACGACGCCGTGAACGCCGAATGAGCAAGAGTGCATCGCGACGTAGGAGTACGTTGAGTCCTTGGGAGCTTGAAAGCCTGATGAATGGAAGCGTACAGTAATGAGAATTTGTCAATGATGGGCGGAATCCTGGAAAGCTTACTTGGGCAATTTGGTCTGGCGTTTGGTGCAGAGAAGCGGTAACCCGAGAGGGGATCAAGTTTAATACATTTCTGATGGAAGACATTTTATCATACTTCACGCGAGAACGGTCTACTTGCTAGTTGTTGAAGGAAACGCGTAGATTCATATAAACACGACTAAAATACCCCCTAATGACATGCCTTTGGTTCCTCAAGCCAGCAAGTGGAAAAGCAAAAGATAGACTAAAGTAAACAACCGACTCCCTGTCCTTGATTCGGATCTTAAACTCCAATAAATCTCAAAAGTCACTGGCGTACTGTCTGTAAATTATAGAGCAGGCGCCGTAGCAATAAGCACCGACATGACAGCAGCTCCTCCAAGGGCGACATACCCAACTGCTTCTGCCATACGACGGAGACGTTTGCTTGGTGGGAGTCCCAACGCTGCAATGTGGCGAGGCATTGCACTCGTCTGCACCTCTCGGTGGTGCGCCTGTGGACGAGATTGGCGGTCGTTACACATTTGTTCTTCTTCAGGGGTAAGCTGAGAGATTTCATCGGCCTTTCTCTTGGTAGCAGTAGATTCTGGCACCGGAATCTTCACAGGTTCAGCTGCCTTTGCGGCTTCGACCGGTTTCGCTGGCTCCGCGGCTTCAACTGGTTTGGCCAGTTCGGCTGCTTCTAAAGCTTCAGCTGGCTGGGCATCGCCGTCCTCTACAGCATCTGTATCATTCTCTTGAACCATCACCTTCTCAGTTGCCTCGGTTGTGACTTCGACACCAGATGACTTCTTGCTCTCTTGAAAGGCCCAGGCGGATGAGTCGTCCAACTCTGGCTCCGCAGATGTGTTGAGGAATTCGACGTGCTCAGGGGGCGTTGCCAGATATCTAAGACCAGAGGACACCAAATCGGAAGCGCGAGGTTGAGTTTCATCTGTGGGCGGTTGGAGCTCATCTTCTAAGTGCACGGGGATTTTGTTTTCCATCCCTGCCTGCAAGACATAGTGTTCTTGGACTGGTGCCTGACAGACCGGGTCCATGGGTTGAGCTTGTGGTTGCGCGCGGGCAGCTGCAGCATTGGCTTCTCTAGCGGCGAAGAACTCGTACTTTCCATGCTTCCTGCCGACCACCTCAGCGGTAGAGTGTGTGATCGTCTCATGGTTGTATGTGTCGAAGACTGCTTCTGAAATCGGTGGAAGCTTCAGGGACGACGTGCCGTTAATCGACATCATTGGAGCAAGGTCTGATTTCCATGCATAGTGACTCTTGTCCAACTGGGTGAGGTTGGTACCATCAAGTTGCTGAGGAGCACCACGGGTCTGGATGCTCATAGGGTCGGCCAAGAGCTGCGCAGGGGTCTTTTCGGAGTTCTCGCTCATTACAGATGCCATGATGGTATCCTCTTCAATGTGGCCGTTCTCTTGAGGAGCAGGTTCCTGAGTGTGGACTATAAAATGGTCAAAATGGTCAAATGGTCCAGAGCACTGTACCCCATGAACATACCTTGCTCTTCTTCAAACTCGTCATGCTCTGCAAAGTCTTCTTCTTCATCGGCAATAGAGTCCCCTGCAACGGATGACATTGCATAGTCGACACTCTGGCAATCTTCTGAAATGTCACCATCAGAGTCGTCTGTGTCCATAGAGTTTGGTGATAAGACGTTTTCCGCTTCTTCAGGCTCTTCCTCAAGATCGGAGAACTCGTGGCCCAAGACAGAAACAGGTTCTGGCAGCTTGGGGGAATGTATCTCCAGAATATGAGGACAGTTGTCGAAAGTCTCAGTTCCATTCCTAACATTGGAAAGAGGATATTGATCATCCATTGTCAAGTCGATCGGACCATGGCCAAGAGATGAAGTAGCCATTCTGGCAGGGACAAATTTATTTGCGCGCAACATCTCGTAGCTATTGCTCACTTGGTCTTCGTCACTGATGAGAGATTCGATGTCGCTATCCTCAGGAACGCGGAAGCTATTGCCGCGCAGTTCGGGGCTAGAATGATTAGCAACAAGACAGGAGATATTGAAAAGATGGCATACTTGATGGAGCCGTATGTCTGACGGACTATCATAGCACAAGGGTAGTGTTTATCCTGGGGTCGTTCAATGAAAGCACCAAATTTGAGCTTGTCGCCACTGGCCACTTCATGGTTCACGTTCGTCTCGAGGCGGACGTCGTTTTTATAGGTCCCATGGAGAGAACCCGTGTCCTTGACATAAAGTTTCTAGGTGAATAGTTAACACAAAGTTACTGGAGAGTTTGCCTCCATAAACCTTACCTGTTTGTCGGCGTCAAGGGTGAAGAGTGCATGTTTTCGAGACATGACTGGTGAATCGAACCAAGTATTGCTCTTGGCAGCTTCAAAAGCTCCATTTCTTTTGGAAGTTCGACCGATTTCGATGGTTGGGTTCTTTTTGCTGAGAAAGATGCGGCGAGTTGGAAATGAGAAGCTGGGCGGGGGGTCAGCGATGGAGAGTGTGATGGAGACTATGAATGTTAGTTATCATCAGGGTTCACGGCGTATATTATTCTGCTATTTGCACATGGCCTTACCTTCATCGCGATACTCGGGTACCGCCATTTTGATTGCTTGTTGATGACGGCAAATGACGAGCTCTCGAGTGAAGACGATAGTGTGCGGTGATACTCTTGGTTTGCGGTGCACGCTGTCTCATATACTTGCGATGGGCCCACTTCTTGAGAACGGATGTCAGCAGGCCAAGCGCAGACTCGAAAGATGTGTGCTAGTTAACGAAGGAATAGCAAACCTATTAAATAGGTAGTGATACCCTTTTGGCTCGGGAAAAAGGTTGAAAGATAAAAGTTAAACGCAACACAGATGAAAGGTAAGGTAGGTAAGTGGTGTTGGGAAGCCCGGAAGGTGAATGCAGGCATTGTAAGTACCTTAGCTCCGATAAGTGGCGGGGCTTATCGCTGCCTGCCTTGTGGGCCTGCGCTGTCACCTGTCCCGTCTGCCTGTTACGGCAGTGGCCTTGCACTGCTGCCCCGCTTCGCGGGGTGAATGGAAAGAACCCCGCCGGAACCTTCAGTTTTGGGCTTACCTGATATGTGATCATGGGCAAGTTGCTCACAAGAATAAAACTCAGAAGGATAAATAATCTCTTCAAGTATCTTTAAGTAGTCTTTCAGCAAGAACAAGGTATCACAGCTGATGTTGAAGGTATTATCAGTTTCAGGGTCTGGCTTGGGTCTAGTGTTCTTAGGATGGTGTTAATGGCAGCTGTTTCAAGTGGGTCGCACTGTACACTGCCGAAACACCCTGGACCTGAGTATTGAAGTGACTGTCAGGATGAGATACCACTTCACCAACTTAATGAACTACTTATTGATTTCCTCAAAGCAAAGCCACCAGCTCTCGAGGAAGCTCGTAATCAAAGCAAAGCCCAGTGTAAAGGCAGAAAATCGGACCGATGGGCAGATGGCTTGAGTGAAGAGGTCATGGATAAATAGTGCAAGAGTTCAATGTTGAACTGTGTAAACTGGGCGGACTACTTTGCTGACCCCTCCAGCTTGGCACCCGACCCTATGGCCTTATCATTCTAGGGGAAGGCCAGAAACTTGGGGGCCATGTCCTAGGTAGGTAATGGAAACACTGAGGAAAGTTTAGTGTATGTTATTAGGTGTTTAGACTACGGTACTTCACCATCGTCTTCACTCGAGAGTCCGCGTTTTCTTCATCCGGTATCTACAAGCAATAAAATTGGCGGTACCCGAGCATCGTGATGGAGTTACTCGTATCAGGTTCATGCAAGGTGGTTGAGCTGGCACAGTGACTAGCAATTTAACTTACTACCTAAAAAATAGCAACATGGCGTCAGGTGGTAATCTTTCTATTGGCACCAGCGCTATCAGGAGTGGTTGATACGGCGGGTGTGAGTTGGCTTCCAACGCATAAATGCCAGCTTGATTTTGTTTCAACCCCCCCGAAAATATCAATAGAGTCTGAGCCGCATGGTATTGGATGTTTTTAACATGGTGAGGAGTACGATTGCACTTTTGCGTAAAGCATAACACACTATGAAGCTAAGACTTCAGTTGACAGGTGCCCGTAAACAAGAAGCAGGCAAGGAGGGCATCTTTGTATGGCTCGCATAGAAATCTCCGTGGTTCAGCCAGCCAAGGCTGCAGTAGTTGTACAATACATTCAGGTTCGATCAGGATTTCTATCTCGTCTGTGGTACTTTGTTTATGTTAGTATGAATTCCATCTGATGAATATGCAGGTCTATTGCAATCTAGCCCTCTCTGTTACATCTTCACACGAGCTCAGTCAAGCCTCGGTTTACGCGATCTTGTTGTCCGTTTGACTCAATCCAATAAGCCGATGTCTACCTAACCCAACCGGCTAATGAACATTGACACGGGTATCAGTAGTGATTGGCGCTTACTAACAGCAAACGTGAAGCTCTTCGGTTGGTTTCTCATTTGTCAAGTTTCACATTCGCTTTTCCTAACCGCATTTGACTTCAGAGGGAGGGAGCCTCGCTGGATCCTCTCATCACACCACTTCTCATACTCCAAAGTTATTCTTAAGTTGCGAAATTGTATTCAGAAGTTTGAACTGAAAGCGTGATTCAACATTGCTCAGGCACCAAAACAACACTCGATTAAGACATATATATCAGCAAGGGACTAAGCGAGGTACATAGTATATGATCGATGACGCTGACCGCGACAAGGGTCATTCAAGTGGGGAATAGCTAAGCGGGTGAGTGGGACGTTAGCATCCATTCCTTGTCCCTTTTCTGGGGAGGCTACCCACTATGCTGTCATTTGAAGTATTTGGAACAAACATGTGATATATACTTCGAACCTCATGAACTAAACGACGAGAATGCATGAGGAATCTCGGATGACAGTAGTTCCCAGAAGCATCTAGCATGCATTTGAAAGTGATGTTCAAGCCTCTGAGTCACAGGCCCCTTAACCGTTGGCTTGCACCTGCATGTTCAAGGCACTTTAAGCTTCACGGCTAATGATTTGCCACTAAAAGTGCTGGAATTTCTCAGCGGCGCCTGATCTGATCCATGTTCCACTGTTCGCAGGGCTGTTCGTACTTCTGGTGCCACGCCACAACCCGGTTCTTACTGGCTTTAAACAAATATTTATCGCCGTTCGTCCACTTCCTTCTCTTCTCTCTCCTTACTTTGCTCAAATTCAGGTGCAACCATCTTGCTAACACCTATCTCCGAATCCTCCTATTGTCGCGCCAACTTCCCCATGGACTTTATGCCTCGATACGCCTATAAAGTAACACGAACCTCCGCCTACTACACACACATCAGTCGACCCAGACCCAAAACCATACCCAAGTGACAGAATTTTCAACTAGACGAGGATCACTTGCTGCACAGCTTTTGATCATTTGATCGTTATAAACTTGCCTAAATTCAAATTTTGCAAGTTTTCCTCGTCGATTAACCTCCATCCTTTTTGCACATTCGCTCACAACACCACTTTTGGATTTAACCAAGACTTCGGTAAAATGATGAACCACGCTCGAGTCAAGGCCCTCAAGGGCGACGGAAAGACTACGTCAAAGAAAGCCATCAAGTCAGGTCGTGCTTCGGCTGGTTTGACTCCTCGAGGCTCTCCTTTCGCTTCGCTTCTTACGTCACCCGCGCATTCCGCAGCCCCAAGCCGGGCTGCTTCTGACGAGAGTGAAGATGACTTCGAGTACGACGATACCATGAGCATTGCTTCCGGAAGCTCTCTAGTCGACACCAACGAAGACGGCACCAACACATTCGACGCCAAGCAGTTTATGGAAGAACTTCAGGATCGCAAGCACAACAATAGCGATGCGCGAACTCAACTTCTAGAACTCTACATTAAGGTTTTGCGACATCGATTCGCCCCTGCCACCCACGAGTGGCTTGATGATTCGGCCAGCGAACTCGCAGAGCTTTTTATTCGTGGCGCTAATCGCGGCATGGAAGCCAGAGAGCGACTACTTTACCTTCAGGCATATCTTCTGACTCTTAGTTCCTCAGAGGACGCCAACGTTTACGAGCATGCCGAAGGAACTCTCAAGCAGATAATTGCCGACGACGACGATGAGGAATGCAAGGCATTTGGCATTTACGCATTGTGCTTTACTGTGCTCTATGGCGGCGGTGGCGAGACTGAGGCCCTCGAGCTGCTCGACTACCTATACGCTATAGTCGAGTCTGATGGAGACAACATCGATTCCTATGACAACGGATTCATTGTTGCGGCTGCTCTTCGAGGTTGGGCCTTTGTTGCTAGCCACGTCGACGACTTTTCATATGCCGCCACCATGGCTTTGGATGGGTTTTATGAACAGCTTGATAGCGTTGATGTCGGTGTTCAAGCTCAGGCCGCTGCCTGCATTGCACTCATTTTTGAGGCGGCGCGCAATCATGAGGAGGAGACAGGGGAATCCTGGGATCTTCCCGTCAACCCAGAGAAGCTCACAGGTCGAATGTCAGAGCTCGCTAAGCAGAGCTCTAAATCAGTTTCAAAGAAGGATCGCCGAGACCTTCGAGATAGCTTGATGAGTGCTATCACCTCACTCGAGAAGGGTGTCGGACCAGGATATTCGTCAGCTGGCTATACGCCTCAGAAGGGCGATAAGCGCCCGATCTCCAAGCCCAATGAGGATGGTGTCATTGAATTTGGATATCGTCACAAACTTCGCCTCGGCAACTACGTCGCCGTAATCGATTCGTGGTCACTGTCTTCCAGAATTGACATGATGAGACTTCTTTTTGGAGGACACCTACAAAAGCACATTTTTGACAACCCTGTCGTTGCCGAGTGTCTAAGTGACGCCGACTTTAGCGACCAGGGACCAGTTGCAAAGAAGTCCCCTAAGAAATAAGACAACTACATTGCATAAGGATTTGAGGTTTAGGTGTTTTGCGGGCGTTTTGATACAGACTTTATACCTGGGAGATTATTACATGGAGGGTTTCGAGAAAGACATTATGTTCTTGGTTGGTCTTCGACGAGATTGTCGGAATAGACGAATGGATGATTATGCGAATGTGCTTTTCTGTCGCACTCTTCCAAGCGGCGATATTCGATGGGTTTTTTACATTCACATGTATCAATACAGCATCTTCAAACTTATTTGCCATATGCTTGCTTTGTGATTTTAGTGTTTTGGTCCTCTAGTAGAAGAAGATGGTGATTTCTTTTCTCATGGGAATAATTTAGCGCTTCAGGCTTAAAACCATCGCATTAATCTCGAGGCTTGTTTCTCCCATGGGACATAGTTCAGTTCTGCTCAATAACTTGCAATATGCATCGTGATATTCTATTGGTCGCTTATCTTTGGTTGTATCGCAAACTAAGCCACAATTTGATCTCCGCCAAACCCCCGTTAATGAAACTTGGCATCAACCACTCATAAGCTGTAGCACTTATCCTGGCACATGAACTGGGCTGTTTTCAAGGCAGGCCACCACAAGGCATCGACATTTCTTCTTCTGTCTACCACACAACCTCAATCTAATTCATTCAAACTCGACAACAAATTGCAATATACGCCATGACGCGAGTCTCGGTATACACTTCGGCCCTGGCGGCTTTTGTAGCTGGTACGTTTTCCGACTTTCTCTCCACAGCACGCGCCTGCAATGACGTATGCGACCGGTTCTAGTTCATCTGAAGTTGACAACAAACAATAGCGACGGTCATGATAGTAATCCCGATATGGCTCCCCAACTGGGTAACATACTCTGTTACTTCGGCCACCGGCGAGATAGTCGAGAGACATATCGGCTTGCACAAGAGCTGTTCAACGCTTGATGATCCATACTGTCGACCATTCCCGCCCAAGGATCTCTGTCAAGGAGGTGAACGATACTTCTGCTCCATGTGGAGGACCGTTGGGTTTCTAGCATCATTTGCTACTCTATTATGTTTGGGCGGTTTGGTGACTTTTGTTGTCATTATGTGCGGTGGGAAATACAAGCGCGAGACTGGATGGCCTTTTGCCGCTGGCATGTTGACCTTTATTTCTGTTATGGAATTTGTGGCCATTTCTATCGTGGTGAGTTGGTCTGTTACAGAAGAATTTGGATGCAAACTAATCTATGCGAGGCGTATCTTTATGATCATGATGATCAGTTTAACATTCCTGGTTGGTCGCTCGATACGTCGTTCTATCTCAGCACCACCGCGGCGGTTATTTGTCTTCTGACTGCCACTGGTATTACTTTCTCCGCGTACCTTCTTCCTCCCGAGGAGGGATATGATTTCTTGTCGGACCCTCTCGATGCTTAGGGAGTATACCATAACTAATGCTTGGATTTGTTGGTTGCATATTTTCTCGTCTGATGTTCTCATGGCAGGTGTTTTGTTTCAAGTCAAGAGTCTTTGGGGTTTGATGTCTGGTACATTTCAAGGTGCTGATCTAGACTAATACAAGGGGCTCTGCTGTAGCTACCTTGAAATAGATTTAGTAAATCGATAGATTCTTTCGCTTATTTGAAGTGACTAGGACCATGACGTATAATCATCACAAGTAACTGTGTATACTAGTAGTAGACCCCTAAGTGTGAGAGTCCACAAACAAGTCAGCTTACAATCCTTCTCTTAGTGATACAACTGCTGTGTGTTGTAGTTAGTATAGCCGTATGAGGCATGTGGTGATGCAGGCGGGGTATATGTAGCTCCCCACCTTTGACTCTTTATCAACATGAACTTATCTCACACAACCTCGGTTCAGATAAAGACAAGTCACCTCAAGTTATACCCAGGCACTACTCAACTCCTTGAAACAAAAACACTATGACTGCTGATACCCCAGGACTCTCACCAGATCAGCTGGAAACCTTCAATCGTGATGGCTACCTCATTCTCCCTGGCGCGCTCTCCAGCTCAACTGTCAAATCTCTCCTCGACGAAACTCACAATCTTCTCGAAAATTTTTCCCTAGATGATCACCCTCTCACGCGTTTCTCAACCGGCGAGAAACGTGACCATGTTGGTGACGACTACTTCCTGACTTCAGGCGACAAGATCCGGTTCTTCTTCGAGGAAGACGCCTTTGACGATGATGGAAAACTCACCAAACCCAAGGCTCGTGCCGTCAACAAAATCGGACATTACTTGCATGCTCTATCCCCTCCATTTGCCCGTCTTCTGGAACACGATACAAGCAAGGTCAGCCCACCTGCTGTGGCACGTAGCCTTGGCTTCAAAGACCCTCGGTGTCTACAGAGCATGGTTATCTGCAAGCAACCAGAAATAGGAGGCGCCGTGCCTCCACACCAAGTATGTCAAGCTGATACTATTCTATGACTGACTAACATCCACCAGGATAGCACTTTCTTGTATACCAACACTCCATCAGCGGTTGGTTTCTGGTACGCACTTGAGGATGCCACGCTTGAGAATGGATGTCTAAGTTTCCTGCCCGGTTCACATCTCTGGGCACCAGTTGAGAAAAGACTCGTTCGCAAGGCAGGTAATGTTGGTACAGAGATGGTGGATAATGACGGACCAAAGTTCCCTGTAGCAGCCGGCTACGGGCAAGCAGCGCCAGGCGGACCACACGAGTATGTCCCTGGAGAAGTCAAGGCCGGCGATCTAGTCCTTATTCACGGCAACCTGTTGCATAAGAGCGAGAGGAATACCAGTCAGAAGGGACGAATTATTTACACGTTCCATATCATTGAAGGACAAGACAAGGAGTATGATGATAAGAACTGGCTTCAACCACCAAACGAGGGGTTTACCAAGTTGTATGCTTAAATGAATACAATAATCTCTAGACTATTGCAACGCTCATTAGAGCCCCTTTTTACGTCCACAGATAAGTATGCCGATAGACATACATTAAAACATGATGCGTAGGTATGTCGATAAATTTAGTCTGCGAACATGGTTTTACAGTCTATCCCGGCTCCGCCTTCGTCCTAATCCTGTGTCATCAAAGACGGGTATCATAATCCTCACTCAGAGTCCGAATCATCCTCACTCGAACTGTCGCCAGAGCTTGACTTATCCGAGGAAGACGAGGAATCGCTCGAATCTTCCTCACCGGGTTGTCGATAAGCTCGTGCCGGGGCCTCATTCTCGGACTCGTCCTCGGACGACGACGAGCTCCCGCTGCTGCTGGTGTCGGAGTCGCTATCTGAACCAGAGTCCGAGTTTGACTCGGAACTGCTGGAATCGCTGTCTTCGACATTCACACGGAGTTTTCGTCGACGTTTTCCAGGAACGCCGTCGGCGATCTTTACAGTCTTCTCTGCATCTGTAGTCGATGTGACGTTATTATCGCTTGCAGTGATGGTCTGTGACGATGCGATGCTGGCCTCGGTGTCTTCACCATCGGAAAGTTCATCAATGACGAGCTCGGCTCTCATGCGCTTCACAAGTCGGCGAATGATGAAATCCTCCTCTTCTGAGTCCGAGAGGTAATCAACCTCGGTAAAGCCCTTTCTCTTAGTTCCTACTGGGTGATTTTCAAGGATTTTAGCGAGGACCTCCTCATATCGTTGTTGATTAGCCTCAAGGTCTTTGGTTCCCTCAGGGAACACCTTTGCTCCATCCGATTGGTCCTGATCCCTAACCTCGCGAGCATTCTCCAGCAGTCGCATCCTCACAAAGCCCTTCAAGTCTTGGATGTAGTCGTAGAAGGTTTCAATGTCAGAGGCGGGGATTCCATCGGCATCGAAAACGTGCTTGATGAGGTTTGATTGGTGGTTTTTGTTGAACTTCCAGCTATCGCGAGCTGTCTTCCAGAGCCTCAAGTATTCAAGCGCAGGCTTGAGATCAGTAGGGACCTGGGGTTGAGGTTTCTTTGCGGGGCCTTTGCTCTTGGCCTTACTCTGTTTAATGGGCCTTGATGGTGTCCTGGCAAAGTGATTGTTGGATGGTGCATCGGCAAAGGTGACTGACTTCTGCCTCTTTAACTGTCCTGGTGCATTCCAACTTGTTGTGGCTTCATCCTGACGTGGTCGCTTAGCAACCTGAGAGGAATTGGAAGGTGGCGGGGCGTCGAATTTTCTCTTTGTACTTGACTGGATGCTTGTGCTTGTACTGCTGGTTGGGTGCCCAAAGCTGGGCTCAGATGCATCAGAAGGCTGCTTGAGCTTCAAGCCCAATTTCTTCCAGGCGGGAGTTTGACCAGACATTGTGAGATGATGTTTGTACAGTTGGTTTGAAGGAGAGGACCGAGAAACAGCAAAAAGAACGTGAACGGACTTCAACTCTCAAGAAATTGAGAACCTGAGATTTGTGTTTTCTTCGACTTCCTCAGATTTGCTGTAGTTGCCAAGGCCCTCGAAATTTCTTCTAGCTGATGGGTGAGCGGTGGATTCTTTGTTGATTTTCAGAGGACCAATAGCAACAGCGCAGAGTCTAAAGGGGGACTCTGAGTTGTCAATTCTGCAAGTTCCTTTTAGCGCAGTGCAAGTGCAAGGCCGATATGCAATGTCGTGTTGTTGCGGGCCGGATGTCCTTGGTTGTCAAGCAACTTTTTTCTGAGGATCGTCATGAGTGGATCTAGAAATGAGATAAGATAAGAAATATGGAGAGCTTGAACGACAATATTATATGGACAGAGCTTCAGAGGATGACTGGGGACTTTACCATCTCAGACCTCTCTTGAGGGCTAAAGTTCTGTTAGATATAATTTCGCATTTTCTGTTACGTAGCTCGATAATTTAATGCTTTTTATCCGATAAACAATCCCCAGACTTCTCTTATGAGAAGATCTAATTGTCTAACTATCTTTTGTGTCACCCTGCCACCTACCACGTTCTGCCTGAGGATTACCTAATGCCAGCGAGGCATCAACTCAGCCTTCCCATTGAGCTCCGTTGCCTCACTGTGCTCCAGGCAAGCTCCTGCTAACGCGTCGACTATCTCAACCCACAATAGCTCCCTCAACCTCCGTAACGTCAATCAACACCTCAAACTCACCTCATTCAGAACTTGACGAGTTCTTCTTGAGCTTCATCCGCTAAATTTACCCAATTCCGAACCGTTAACAACACATTCCTCCACAATGTCGGGTATGTTACGCTGCCTCAATCCGATCTCCGGCATCCTTGCTAACACACAATTAAACAGCCGGCGCATACGATCGACACATTACCATCTTCGCTGACAATGGTCGGCTGTACCAAGTTGGTATGCTAATCCCAAGCGTCAAGAGCACCGAACCCGACGATTTCTTTGGCCGATGACGTTGATGGATACATGATTCAGGACTGACATGAATGTAGAGTACGCCTTCAAGGCGATTACGGCTGCCAACATTATGTCCGTCGGTGTGAGAGGCAAGGACTGTGCCGTTGTTCTGTCTCAGAAGAAGGTCCCCGTACGTTGATGATGTTAAACAATCTCATGATCAGCACTGATGAAGACAATAGGACAAGCTTATGGACCCCGCCTCCGTAACCCACATCTTCCAACTCTCTCCCTCGGTCGGCTGCGTCATCACAGGATCCATTGCAGATGCCCGGGCTTTCGCTCAAAGGGCCCAGGGCGAAGCAGCAGAATTTCGATACAAGTATGGGTATGAGATGCCAGCTGATGCACTAGCCAAGCGTCTTGCCAACATCAGCCAAGTCTACACTCAACGAGTAAGCATATTCTCATCCTCAAAATCACGACCAATCATATACTCACCTCAACCCAGGCTTACATGCGACCTTACGGCGTTGCGACCACTCTGATTTCGCTCGACTCCGAATATGGCCCCCAGCTGTTCAAGTGCGACCCTGCTGGATACTATATCGGTTACAAGGGAACTGCGGCAGGCCCGAAGCAACAGGAGGCGCTGAACCACCTTGAGAAGAAGCTCCGTAACAAGGAGCATGCGGAGGGGTCTTGGGAGGAGGTTGTTGAGCTGGCCATCACAACACTGAGCACAGTTCTGAGCATGGATTTCAAGAAGGGAGAGATCGAGATCGGTATCGTGGGTGGACCTCGACCTGACGGTGAAGAGGGAACCTACTCAGGATTCCGAACATTGACTGAGGACGAGATTGACGACCGGTTACAAGCTATCGCAGAGAAGGACTGAGCGAGTGGAGAGAATGATATGGAACATGGCGTGAAACATATTGGCTGGCCATAGTAGAAGGTCGGTGCACTTTGTCGTGAGAAATCAGAGCTCTGATTCGTGGGCTGCAGGGACGACGTTCTGCTCCCAAGAACGCGGACCATGCAATGCCAATGCAGGGGGATGGATTATCAAGATTAGAGACTTGGATGCCGTCGTGGGCGTGGGTCCTCGCCAGTGTGTCACTAGCCGTCCTGACCATGTGCAATAGAAACTGATGAGACTTTTCAATTGAGCAAATGACAACAGTCGCGCCTGATGACCCAATTGAGGACGAGTATGCCTCGCGCCAAGTTACTAAGAGCCTACGATGGGCCCAGCACATGCCAGTTAGTGGGTCACGGATGCGTGTAGTGCAGGTTTGAGAGTTGGGAAACCCAATATTTCTCAATAGTGGATCTATTTCAGACATGAACAAAGGCGCAAGTCTCGCAGCGAAGCCAGTTCGATTTGGTGCAAGTTTGTTCTAGCGTGATTTGTTCTAATTTTGGTCAATGCGCATGCCTGTGTCATTTACATACTTTCTCCAAAACAAGCTCAATTGGTATTGATCTCTAAGTCATACGAGAATCTAGAACATGAATGACAAAAGAGGCTTCTCGAGGAGTGACTGCAAGTATGATTTCCAAGTTTGAATGGATATGCGAACAGAGCTATCCCGAAATATGCTAGGGCTTTCATCACATCCTTGGAAGTGATAATCATATGGGATCAAATATGTCAATGCACAGATTTGGAGAAAACAAGTGGCTGGTACGTAATGAGTGTTTCTCCTGGCATGGACAAGCTTGTTCACAAGGCTTGTGAATTATGATCTGAAGGTGAAAGTCATCCATCCGGTCGATCGGGTCTACTACTACGGTCCTTGCAGGGGCCCCTGGTCTACTGGGAAGCTCCTTGGAGTTGATGGCTGGCTACTCATAGTAAGCGCCGATTTGAGCCTCCCAGGGGCGCTGAAAGAAAATAAGCCACGACCAATCCAAAAACAGGATCAATTACTGATATAAGTTGTCTACAGAACCAAGACGCGGGAGCGGGAGCGGGAGCGATGGAAAGTAGCCGAGACGGAGGAGTTCGTGTTGAGGATGGTATGGGATGGGAGGCGAACGTTGAGAAGGCGAACGGTAGAGAGTTCATAGACTAGGGCTTTAGTTTGGTCAAGTCGTCAATAACGGCTGAAGAACATGAGGAATGATGTTGGTTGGGGGAGAGAATGTGAACGGCCTCAAACGGCGTCATGCAAAGAATAGAGGGCATGACGCCACGGCGTGGACGAGGAGAACCAGTTCTTTGGATTGTGGATGCTCGATAGTGAGTGATTGAAGCTGGGGTCAACTGACGATTCTGTGCCTCATGGTTTCGAGCAGAGCCCAATGTTTTGCAATATCTGCGATATGCCTTGTTGAAATGAACCTGGACGAGCTGGAATTGACAAGCCAAGTAAGCAAGCTAGGTTCTAAGTTAAGTGTGATAGATGCAGCATGCCCTGGGATGGTCTCAGATCTGACCTTACCCCCCATGTCAACCATCTAGGTAGGTAGGTAGGTAGGTAGGTAATCTAGCATTAAGTTACATTCTGTATCAAACCTGGAAGTCGGTGACAAGAGTCGTCAATCACCCGGGCAAACAACATGAATCATTATTTCGATAACTCCTCATATCGGAATCACCGCTATTGACTCAGCCTTTTGATTTTGTCTTGCGTCGTGTCATGCCCATGTCTTGTAGGGTTACATTCACTTTTCAGACGGCCTCGTGTAGATAGGCTTGACCCTTTACAGCCATCCAGCTCGCCCCGGACAGTTGTGAAAGCTTCATCCGCGCGCCTATTGGCCTCGCTGCCCCGATAGAGCTACAGGGCGTTTCCTATTCGGGAACAACTAGTGAGTGGCTCATGGGTAGCCAGGTAGCTGAGCCGGCGCCAACCCACCACATCCACCTGCGCTATTCGACAACCTACACATTTATTTTTCTCTCACAACTAATTAACCATCAAATACTTTGACCGTCACTTTGCTCAACACGCAAGGGCAGGTAACTACTGCATCTCAAGCTTAGCATCTCTCTCTATCTCTCTCTCTCTGCGGAGACTTGTTTCTGACAACCACACCTACCCCTGCAGCGAAAGTGACTGCACGTTTCCTAGCGTATAACGTTAACATACCCGGTGTATTTTTACTTTGTTTGCTCGGACAAAGATGCTTTTTAGGATGTTTTGGTCCGTCGGAAAACTGAAGATATGTGAATTCCGCAGTGGCTTGAGTCCTGACCCACGCCGCTCTGTCTAGAGACGGAATACGGTATCGTGCTTTAAACTACAATCCGAGCCGAGAAGTAGGAGAAACGCCTCTTTGACGCCTCTTTGACGCCTCTTTGACGCCTCTCAAGTAGAACATCGCGGATGCTCGACCCTATCGGGAGAGAAAAACCGGGTGTGGCTGGACACACACCCATTGATCTCATCCTCACCCTCAACACCATGCCATGCCATGCCATGCTCATGACGTGCCACACACATACACACTACCTGCCTACATGGGGCTCTTTACTCTCCGGGCCCTGCAGTACTCTGCATATATCCAGGGGCAGGACAGGGTAAGGAGTAGGGCTGAGGGTAAGGCTTCGGCCTTGTGCTTGGGTTCCATTCGATAGCATGATGGTTTGCCACCAGCTGGTCCGGGGTCGTCGATGTTTTGAGCTTGCACTTGAACATGCGCTTGCAAAGGGTCGTCCTGAGTGGAGGCACATCTTGACTCTCTCACTGGTGGCCCAGGATTCTGTCTCAAAAGGCTGGCTTTAATTGCCGAGCCTCTCATGTGTGCCGTAGGGGCTCTTCGACTAGGAAGAGAGAGGGGGTGCTTGATGTCGGGTGGTATCCCCCCTTGGACCTAGTAGCCGTTCGCTTCCCGTTGGTGGAGCATGGCATGCCTTTGGCAAGCTTAGGTCGAGCTGTAGACTGAAGTTAGACTAGATGGAGACTTTTCTGGAGCAAGAGCTTCTTGGAACTCTTCTTGTTGTCTGTGTCTGTTTCTAGTTTCTCGATGGAGTATCTGGGAGGCCTTCGACAACCATCACGATAATACAATACAAAAAGGATGCCCGGTTCTGCTGCTTGTTTCGATTGTTCAGTCAATCAATCAAGCAAGCATTGAAGAACCGGCTTCTCTCAACTGTTACCAAGTGATCGACATGACAAAGCTCTTATAATATTTCCTTACCTACCATTTTCGTCAACTTTTTCATCACCGACTATTTTACGATCCAAATCGATTTTGCTTGATTCGAATACATTACGAGTCTCTTTCCTGGATCTTCTTCCATTTTTGGCCTTGTTGTCGTCGTGTCCCAGCTAGTCTGATCACCTAGACCTTTCGAAAGCAATTCCAACCAAACACTAAGAAATAATGGACGGATGTAAGTTATACCTGGCCAGCTTGGCAACTCTCTACAGTGGTCAATTGGCATCTTTGCACCACCACAGCCCCCCTTGGAGACTCAGAGACACTGACACGTGAACTTGTTATCACCTACAGTAAACGAGTTCCGCACAATGCGAGTTGCTGAAGTTCTCTCTGATTTCCGAACACTGCAATACTACATAGCTGCTGCTCCTGTCGACCCTGAGGATACAGCAGACTACTACACCGAAGGATGGGCTGCTCTTCGACAATGTGCGCTGGATGGACAACACATTCTGGAATGTGGTGCGGACACCAGTGTACCAACTCCCCCTGGCGGGGAGCAAGAGCAGATGAAGGCCGAGCTTAAGCAGTAGGTCTTCAAGTTTGCTAGACAGGAACTCGGGGCAAGTTTACTAACACCTTGAAGAGTTCTCCTGGACGCGTACGCGAGACGACACGAGGGACAGAAGATTTACCTTCGACAAGCGGCGGCTCAACGATGGGTTGAATATAGAAAACAGGTGCTGCAGGGCGGCGTACCAAACTCGAGCAACCAGTCTCAACTTCGAGCATGCGATCGTCAACTGCGAGCGGTACGATATATAGCCTCCAATTCTCTAAGCCATCTTTTACTGACTCTTGCTGCAGGAGCTCTCAGCCATCGCCGATGAAGTAATCTACGCCGAGCTCAAGGCCTCGGATGAAGGAATGGGCCGCTGGACGGCAGAAGATCCCAGTCTCCGAAGCGTGCTCCGCTGGCTGCGAGCACGACGGTGAACAATGCGCCAGGGAACCAGAAACGACGAAGCTACCACGTACGATCCAAGATACCCCCAGGACCAACGGTTGTGATGAACGAGAGACGAAACGAAGAGAACCAAAAGCAAGCGAACGACTTCTACGCTAATCATGAAAACTTTCTTCCTATTACTTCTTTGACGCCTACGATTCTTTAACGAATACCCTTGACGACCGGATATTTAAGGGGGAGAGTTGAGGTTTGGGGTTGTGATTTTGCAAAGGATAAACATGTTTGTTATATTTTCTTCATGACTAATGAGTCATGGTTTGTTTTACGGGATGTAAACGATACAGATTTGTGTTGCATGGGCACACTTTGAGATAGATGGAGAGCATCTCCTGGGTCTTGCAGGGCCTTGGCTAGGAGAACGGGGCTGGGCTCCATTGACTGCCTGGAGCAGAACAATAACATAACTACCTATTTACTTTACCTCTTCTCCTGCGTTCTGTGATAACTTCATATTCACTTGTCACTTACATGCCTCGCCCATGCTTGTAGTTTATGTTTCACCAAATAAGTCTTTCAGAAGTGGAGTCTCGCATCCATGTTGCTCCCATTGCTTGGTAACCAATCCGAACAAAGTGTTTGTTGAATACAAAACCATCGACGTTCGATTACATATATTCTAGTCTATCAACGCTTGCTCTGAACACACAAACCAATTCCAACCAACATAAGAGCCATTCCAACCGCAGTATCTAAAATGATCAATATACAGAAAGCTATGAACGAACACAAACTCACCTTTACTGATCACTTTACCATCGACGTACCAATCACCCAGAACGGTAAAGAGGAACGCCAACGTGTTTACAATGGGCACGGTCAAGCTCAATTCTGATTGTCGTCATTAGTAACTAACACCTCGGCGTGGCAAAGATTCACTAGACTATCCGCGATCGACACCCCCTGACAATCTTTGACAGGCGAGTTTAGGAAGCACAACTTACCAGCCTGTCCAATAAGCAAGAAGAACCAGATGCTTCCCGTAAGATTTAGAACCAATGGGATCGCGTAACGAGGATTCTTCAAAAGGTCAATGACCGCAAAGAAGGCTCCGTATAACTTTGACTTCAGCCAGCTAGATTGAACTGATGGGCTCTCAAGCACCGGATGCGTAGGTGGATTATGTGATTGAGCGGCGCGACGGATGAAAGGGGTTGTAAAGCCCCACGCGAGCCCGACAAGAACGAAGCTGAGGATGTAATTGAAGACTGGTGGCTTCTCGTCTGCAGATGCCATGATGGTGATGATGATGCAACACAAGCTTCCCCTGCGTTCTAGATTTTCAATATCAAGGGATCAAAGAGAGGTGTGAACGTAGACCAGGGAACATGGGGCTCGTGCGTTCGTCAAGAAAGGGCTGATACTAGTCCACGAGGACTATTAGTCGTCGGGTTGTGATGGTTGTGTGGAGGTTGAGATTGAACCCAGGGCAGAATCTCGCAGGAGAAGTGCGTTCTAAAAATATTACTGGAGGCTAAGGCGTCAACGTGGCTGGCGGGTCGTGAACTCAGCCTCGCCCTAGGGAAACTCTGTCCACTAAGGACGCTATCTTTACAGGGGGCTGTTGATTGATTCCAGGGGGCTTGGGCCAGCTGGTGTGGCGCTTTCTGGCTCCCCGCATGGTCAGTGCTTTTAGCCGCATTCCCGCGCTGACAAGCGACCCGACCATCCATCATGGACATCTTTTTCTCACACAGACACATCGCTTATTCTTTTTGGTGCCAGATGCTGTCACCGCTTGCTAGGAGTAACCCACATATCGTCCCGGCCACTCGGGGCTTCTTGGCGATGATCCCTGTTCAGCTGGACATGGGGACTTAAAGTTCTTATGCGACGTCATCCGGATGTTGGACATAAGGCCCGTGGTTGGCCTCCCTACCTCCTTGTGATCAACATAGGCCCTGTAGGGAGAGACCCAGTTCCGGCGATGAGGAATATCGATAGACGCACGGCCAAGAGCCGCTCGATGGAGGTCCATTGAGTTTGATTCGCTCCCTTTACCGCGGACACGCCGATGAGCCACTTGTCATATCCAGATGGATCGACATAACATGTCTCGCTGTCCCACGAGGACGGATCAGCTATATGCTAGAGCCAGTTAGTGTCATATCAGCGGTTTCGTCTAAGTTTCGGGTCGCCCTAGAAAGCTGGTACACTCCGTGATTGGTTTCTCGATCTCGGGACTGTCACCAAGCTCAACGACACAGAAGACAGGATTAAGTGATCGTCAATCCGTATGTCGGCTTCAATTTGACCGTATATGCAGATAAGTCGGCGAGCGCCGGTTGAAAACTTTTATTCATACAGACACTCTTTGAGGTATTTACATCGGAATTGTCCGAATCATACCCAACGTCTCAGCTTGTCGATCATGCAAAGTTTCTAGTGATCAACCTACCCTTGACCAACCACAAGACAAATGACAGAATTGATATCAGTTAAGTTGGTCTTGCTTACAGAACATTGTCAGGCTGCAATTGGATTCATTAATCTTAGACATGTTTCTATTCGATATTGTTCCTCGCCAATGCTTTGAGAGTTCAAGCTTGGTAGAGACTCAGTGGTCGGTCAGTCTCTATCCATGGATCCAATCACTGTAACCCAAAGCTGGAGTAAATGCAACCAACGAATATTCAACCCCCTTTTTCTCATTTTCTCTCGCTTTCTCACATGTCGCTCTCCTTCTCCAGTGTTTCACGGGACCTCGCGCATTCTTCGTGGTTGGTCCTATATTTGCGACGCGTTCTGATGTCATGATCCGCGTCCATGATTCATCAACTGGCACAGACCGTCTTTTAATCTTTGTTTGCTTTGAAGTTCCTACTTGAGCCAGTGGCCGTATTTTTAGGGAGTATTTGTTGTAGTTGGCGACGAGTGTCTCTCAACATGGATTGATACGTCATAACAGTCTTGCGCGGGAACATTATAGTTGTGGTATTGTTGGTGATCTCAACCAACAACTTGCCCTTTTCGAACCTCGTCGTTGCTATGATAGTGATCTAGACTATAAACCTCGTCTTGTGATCGTGCATGACCTACAAGGCCACTCAAAACTGAGAGCTGGTTGCAGCAAGACCGGACTTTACTATCGATCGACCCAATAATAACCTACAAACTTTTCCCAGGTTGTTTCCAATTGATGTCTCTGATATCGCACAAATGCCAGAATGTCACTATTCACGCTTCAGCACCATGATCGAGCATTTGTACGTGATGAGATACTTGCTCAGGGGCTGCCTGCACGTCATCACACAACAAGCCGTTTCCGCATTATTCCTCACCAAAAGCAAACAATCCCGTCGCGTACCAGGTCAATATGCAAGCTTCCTAACGAGAAAGCAGCTTCCCGACAGAAACGTCGTAATAAGAGGAGGCTGGATGATCTGCCAGCTCATCAATTGCGTCAACGAAATTGTCTTTGATGTTTACAAGTTGATTTCCAGTCTGGGATCAGCGATGAGATGTCAAACAATGACTGAGAAACAGCTATAAGAAGCCCTGTTGTTCGCAACTGACCCAAAAATTCTCATCAACACATCAACAATTCTCAAGCAACAGCTGCCACAAGACCTCATATTCCTTACCAATTTCACCACACACTTCCTCCAAAATGACCGATGCTCAGGTTGCCGGCGGCCACAAGGCTACCATCAACAACCCCAACACCTCCGAGGAGGCCAAGGAGAACTCACGTCAGGTTCTCGAGAACGAGTTCAACGGTGGTGATGGTAAGCTCCATGTGTCCTATTATAAGTCCTATTCTGACGCTTTGCAGTCGCTAGCGCTGAGGACAACAAGGAGAAGAACCCTGGCAATGTTGCCGGTGGTCTCAAGGCGCAAGTTTCAATGTTTCTTCGAACTTGACTACCAGCTGATAGCAATAGTACCCTGAACAACTCCAACGTCTCGGACGAGGCCAAGCAGAATGCCAAGGAACGTCTTGACAAGGAGGATTTCTAAAATCACTGAGGCTGCCCATGTCTAGCTAGCGACCTCGATACCTACACGAATGTTTGGAAGGCCTTGGAATTCACCAACGGCATAAATTAAATACGAACAATTGAAACTGTCAACAGATTAGATCCCTCTGTGAATACATTGTGTAGCACGTTGAAATTTCGTAAGATTTGTTTAACCATTCCATGTTCGATGTGGCCAGCATTATTGCCTCTTCAATGCCACGTACTTAGTATCATGCTTCAGGGGCTTCCAATGTGATTTCTGTTGACAAATGGATGCATTTTACTATCTAGGGCACATGTCCGTATCGAAGCTTCAATCCTCAAACAGTAATATCCGAACCTTACTGAAAATATCGCACCAACGCCATTCTCCCGCCAATCTGGCATGAATCTAAGTGATATACCGTGCTCCTTATAACCCTTTTATCGTGTTTCTGAGTAGTCGTTCAACGCAACACAGACAGCCCCTCTGTGATGTCCGTTGTATTGCCGGATAATCTGCTGGCTATGCAACTCCCACAATCTCGCATAGTGATCGGAGCAAGCAGTGACCAGGTATGCAGAATCGGCGCTGAAAGCACAATCCCACACCCAGCGCTGGTGCCCGGTAAGAGTGGCTTCTAAGGGATACGGCTTGGGTTCCAGATCTGTGCTGGGTTCGATGTTCTTCACTTCCCAGATCTTGGCTGTGTGGTCTGCACTACAAGTGGCGAGTTTCTTGACGTCTGGGGATAGAAGAATACGGGTGATGTATTCCTTGTGGGCATTGAAGTGCGTTACTGGCACTAATTGTGTGCGATCAAAGCTCTGAATAAGATTCCACACGAATACGTTGCCCTAGCGAAATGGTTAGAGATTAATTTCCAGCACCTCTGGTGGTTGCTTACAGCATTGTTCGCAGCGCATAGCAAGGACCCATCACTAGCGACAGTAACGCTGGAGACTGAGACGTCCTCTTCTGGGATGAGCTCATGGGAACAGTTGTTCTCAGCCAGATCCCACACCCT